TACTCCCATCCCACACAACCATGGATCTGCTGTCATTTGATTTGTTTGTATTTTCTAGAATTAAAAAAAAAAAAAAGAATCAAATAGTATGTATTCTCTTTTGTATGGCTTCTTTCTCTCCCCATTATTTTTATGAAAATTTATCCATGTTGTTGCATGTACGAACTGTTCATTTTTATTGCTGAGTACAGTATTCTATTATATGGATATATGACTATTTGTTCATATATGCTCCTACTGATCAGTATTTGGGTTGTTTCCAGTTTTCAGGTATTACAAAAAAAGCTAGGTATATTCTTTGTATAGACATATGTTTTCTTTTCTGTTGGGTAAATATCAAAAAGTAAAATGACTGGATCATATAATAGGTATATGTTTAACTTGTTAAGAAATCACTGAATTGTTTTACAAAGTGGTTAAACATTAACTGCAACTTCATGATCAGTGTGAAGTCCAAGTTCCTCCACATCTTTGCCAACGCTTGCAATTGTCTTTAATTCTAGCCAGTCTAGGGGCACCTGGGCGGCTCAGTTGTTGAGCAGCTGCCTTAGGCTCGGATCATGATCCCAGGGTCCTTGGATCGAGCCCCATGTCAGGCTCCCGGCTTGGTGGGAAGCCTACTTTTCCCTCTGCCACTCCCCCTGCTTGTGTGCTCTCTCTCTCTGTCAAATAAATAAATAAAATCTTTATATAAAAAAAGTCTGTAATTTTAGCCAGTCTAACAGCTGTGAAATGGTTATCTCATTCTGGTTTTACTTTGCATTTCACTAATGTCAAGTGAAGTTGAGCATCTTTTTACATGTTCATTTGCCAATCCCATTATCTTCCTTGGTAAAGTGACTGTTCTTATTTTTTGCTTGCTTTATTGGATTGTTTGTGTTCTTACTGTTGAGTTGTAAGAATTCTTTATATATTCTAGATACAAATCCTTTGTCAGGTGTATTATTTGCACTTTTAAGAGAAATGCAACTACTTCAGATAATTATGCTATCAATACTATAATACACAGTCTATCTGTACTTTAAATAATCCTTATAAAAAGGGAATTATTATCTCCATAATCCTCAGCTACCAAGTCTTCCCATGCCTAATAAAGGTGGCCAGACCGCGGACATATAAAAATGAGAGAAGAGAGTAGAAATAGAATCTCAACATTCTGGGGCGCCTGGGTGGCTCAGTGGGTTAAGCCGCTGCCTTCGGCTCAGGTCATGATCTCGGGGTCCTGGGATCGAGTCCCGCATCGGGCTCTCTGCTCAGCAGGGAGCCTGCTTCCCTTCCTCTCTCTCTGCCTGCCTCTCTGCCTACTTGTGATCTCTCTCTGTCAAATAAATAAATTAAAAAAAAATCTTTAAAAAAAAAAAAAAAAAAGAATCTCAACATTCTTCTTAATCCCTCCTGATTTTAAGAGGCTCTTAGGAGGGGCACGTGGTTGGCTCAGTGGGTTAAGCCTCTGCCTTCGACTCAGGTCATGATCTCAGGGTCCTGGGATCAAGCCCCACATTGGGCTCTCTGCTCAGCAGGGAGCCTGCTTCCCCCTCTCTCTGCCTGCCTCTCCGTCTGCTTGGGATCTCTCTCTCTGTCAAATAAATAAAATTAAAAAAAAAAAGGAGGCTCTTAGGAAACTATTAGTAGGAGATAACAGAGTGGATCATGTATTGATAATTAGTCATCTTCCTTGTTTCTTTTAAGCAAAATTTTAAAAAGCATTTAGCAAGTAGTAACATTATTACTAATAAAGCCTTTTGTACTTTTTATTAGATTTCTGACACTAAGACCTTATGTTTACATGAATGTTTTCCTTATCAGACTAAAGCAAAACATTCAGTACAGTACCTAGTGAATACTGCTATTATTTTCTTGATTCTCTCCTTTTCTCTTTTGTTGTTGTTGTTTTTAAGTAGGTTCCACACCCAGCATGAAGCCCTGAGATCAAGACCTGAGCTGAGATCAAGAGTTAGCTTAACTGAATGAGCCACCAGGTTCCCCTTCCTCCTTTTCTTCTAATTTCTATCCATGCGTTTTCCTCTCTTCTACCATTTCCAGCATCCCACATCTATGTTTGGATTAATTTGCTGATCTCAAATGAAGTCTTGGTTACAGACTTTTTGGTGGCCCTATGCATGGCCCTTACCATGCATGCTTCAAAGAAACAAAATGAAAATAACAATAAAACTCTTTGTGGAACTCATAGAAAGAACAGTGGAGATTCTACAGAGTGAAAAAGTGAAAACCTTTTTTAGATTATCCATGTAAATTAGTACTTCTTGCCAGAATAAAGCATACAAATAATTATTTTCTAAACTTTACTGTTTAATGGATTAAAGACCTAAATGTGAGACCTGAAACCATAAAATTCCTAAAAGAAAACATAGGCAGTAATCTGTGGGATCAATATGGGACACTGGCCTTAGCAATATATTTATGGACTTTTTTCCTCAGGCAAGGAAAACAAAAGCAAAAATAAAATATTAGGACTACATCAAAATAAAAAGCTTTTATACAGATAAGGAAACTAGCAATAAAACAAATAGGCAATCTATGGAATGAGAAAAGATATTTGCACCTGATATATCCAATTAGGAGTTAATATGCAAAATATATAAAGAACTTATACAACCAATGCCAAAAAACACACAATACAATTAAAAAATGGGCAAAGGGGAACCTGGGTGGCTCAGGCGGTTAAGTGTCCACCTTTGCCTCAGGTAATGATCCCAGGGCCCTGGGATCGAGGCACACGCTGGGCTCCCTGTCCAGCACGGAGTCTGCGTCTCCCTCTACCCCTTCCCCCTGCCTGTGCTCTTGCTCTCTCTCATGCGCTAAGTAAATAAATAAAATCTTTAAAAAAAAAAAAAAAGGAGGAAGGAAAAAATGAAACAAGATGGGATCAGGAAGCAGACAAACCATAAAAGACTCTTAATCTCACAAAATAAACTGAGGGTTGCTGGGGGTGGGGTTAGGGATAGGGTAGCTGAGTGATGGACATTGGGGAGGGTACATGCTACAGTGAGTGCTGTGAAATGTGGAAGCCTGATGAGTCACAGACCTGTACCCCTGGGGCAAATAATAATGTTAATTTAAAAAATTAAAAATAATTCTAAAAAAGGGACCTGAGGGGCGCCTGGGTGGCTCAGTGGGTTAAGCCTCTGCCTTCGGCTCAGGTCATGATCCCAGAGTCCTGGGATCGAGCCCCGCATCGGGCTCTCTGCTCAGCTGGGAGCCTGCTTCCTCCTCTCTCTCTGCCTGCCTTTCTGCCTACTTGTGATCTCTGTCTGTCAAATAAATAAATAAAAAATCTTTAAAAAAAAAAGGGACCTGACTAGACATGTTTCCAAAGAAGACATACAGATAACCAACAGATATATGAATAGATGCTAGACATCACTAATCACCCAGGAAATGCAAATCAAAACCACAATGAGATATCACTTCATTTCTGTCAGAATGGCTATTATCAAAAAGACAAGAAGTAACTAATGTTGACAAGAATGTGGAGAAAAAGGAACCCTTATGCATTGTTGGCAGGAATGTAAATTGATGCAACCACTGTAGAAAACAATATCAAGGATCCTCAAAAAATTAAAAATAGAACTAACATGGGGTACCTGGGTGGCTCAGTCTGTTAAGCGTCTGCCTTCTGCTCAGATCATAATCTCGGGGTCCTGGGATTGGGCCCTGTATCAGGCTTCTTACTCAGTGGGGAATCTGTTTCTCCCTGTCCTCCTTGAGCACACTCATGCTCTCTCTCTCACTCTCTGTATCAAATAAATAGAAAAAATCTTTACCAAAAAAAAAAAAAAAAAAAAAAAAAAAAGAACTACCATATGATCCAGCAATTTCACTACTGGGTATTTACTCAAAGAAAAGAAAAATATTAAATTCAAAAAGATATACGCATCCCTATGTTTTAAAGCAGACTTATTAACAATAGCCAAGATATGGAAGCAATCTAAGAGTCCATCAACAGATGAATAAAGAAGATGTGCTATATAAATACACAGGATGGAATGTTACTCAGCCATAAAAAAGAATGAGATCTTGCCATTCACAATATGTAGGGACCTAAAGAGTATTATGCTAAGTGAAGTAAGTCAAACAGAGAAAGACAAAGACCATCTGATTTCCACTTACAGGTGTAGTCTACAAAACAAAACAAAACTCTTAAATTCAGAGAACAAACTGGTGGTTGCCAGAGGGGAGGGGATTAGGGGGATGGGTGAAATAGGTAAAAGGGATTAAGAGATCCAGACTTTCAGATATAAAATAAATAAGTCCTGGAGATAAAAAGTGCAGCATAGAAAATACAGTCAATAACATTGCAATAACTTTGTATGGTGAGCACTGAGCAACATATAGAATTGTTAAATCACTTTGTTATACACCTGAAACAAATATAACATTGTATGTTAACTATACTTCGATTAAAAAAAGAAGAATGAAAACTTGACTATTTAAGACTTCAGTCTGAAGACTTCAGACTTCAGCAATGCAAAAACCACCAAGGAGTCTTTCCCAAATAAGAACTAAGCTGGAGAAGTTCTGTGGCTAAATAATCATCCTCCTAAAAAGTAATAGATACAAGGCGGAAAAAACCATAGAGAATCAAATCTACTCATTTTAAACCATGGAAAGAAAACACATTTAAGCCCCTTTAAAATATTTTTGTGTACAAAGAACAATCTCATACATTTTAAAAATTTTTATGAGACACATTATCCCTCAAGGAATGCTTTAGTGTCAGACACAAATTTGAATTGAACTCTTCTATAAGCAGCACTAGAACTGGGATAAGTAGCAGATGATACTGGCAATCTCTGACCCAGTATCAGGAAACAGAGAACCCTGGGATTAAAAGTATTTCATGGAAGTAATTACAACACAATTAACTATGTTCTCCAAATCAGAATGGTTCTCATAAAACACCTAATGCTAAGCCTATTTTGACATTGTTTTTTAAAAGGCCCAGTATTAAAAGAATAAGCTTCCTCTAGAAAGAAAAAAAGAAGAATTTTGGCCTATTAAAGATAGTATTTATTGATAAAACATAGTATTGTTTCCAAACATGAAATAAACCATTAATCAAATGGACGTTCACAATAATCACTTAGTTGGTAAAAAGTTATGTTACCTCTTAAAATTTTCAGTTCAATTGTTTTTCTTTTGATATAATGAAAAATTTAATGATTGCCTTTAAATCCTTTTTTAGTAATGTAAAATATGTGAGCTTCATTATATGTTAAAGAAAATAAAAATTATACGACCCAAAATTTATTAAAGTTACAATAAAATACTCTTCAATGCATACAAAATTGCAAAATAACTGATGTTTTCAATAAAGATTCCAGATATAATATTTACTGATGAGATAAAACAAAGATATGTTTAATGACTTTTGTTCTGTATTAAGGTCACCTTATTGAGCGATACATCATGAAATCGATAGTTGTACATCTAGGAAATTTACCAATGGAGCTCTCTTCCACTGGTGTGTATATTTTAATTTGTCTCATGTGGGTGTCTCTTCCATTTTGATGATTGGCTAGAACTGCAATCTGTATCATGAATGTGCGAGTTGGCTTCTTATGATTATCAGTTAAGGGTACATGAATCCAGCCACTTGGTTCCACCAATTCAAGTTGCTGCCAAGAAAACAGAAGTCAGATTATGTTCTCACCCAGTAAGTATACTATGATGAATGCATTCTAAAGTTGACTTATAATTAACCATTTGCTCATTGAGAGAATGACAATATGATAAAAACCCATTACCACTTATTTGGCACTTTTACATCATGGTCCATTTTTACACTTGCTAATAAGCACTCTACATGTACCACATTAGGAGACAAAATAAAAATAGATGTATGCAGTCTTAGTGTTTATAGAAACTTGTATAACATACAAGTTTCGAATCAGACATGTATACGTGTATACAGCCAATGGAAGACCATGTTGATGTAAGTAGGAAAAGAATCTAACATTATGCTTCAGGTATACTTTATTTCAAGGACCATACCTAATATACCTGAACACATTTAATAATAAATTAGATTCTATATAAACTATAAGAATATTAACAAAAAACACAATCATTAAAAAAAATCAAAGCTTTGTTTCTTGAACAACAGTAGTGATTTATCTAGTCTGCATAATACTCTAAATCTAAAACCTAGATTTTTAATAAGAAATGCCAGATAAATTTTTTTAATTCTTAATTTTATTTTAATCAAACAATACTTTCTTAACAAGGGGAAAAAAATCAAAAGTCAAAAGGTAAACCTAAGTTTCTAAAAGTTCTTCTAAAGTTATGAGATAGTTTTTAAGATAAATATTGATTTCTAAATTACCTTAATTATTGAACACATATAAACTATACACATCACCAAAAATCTAGGTTTACCTATCAACACAGCCAAATATTAGTATCAAAGAATCTAAATCTGGATTCCATGCATTATTCTACAAAACAATTAAGTAAACACCACTGTGTCTTCTGCTTTTCCTTCCCTTTCTCCCTCTTCTTTTTCTTTCTTTCATTCTTTCTCATTTTTCTCTTCTCCCTTCTTCCCACCTCCTTCCCTTCTTCCTTCTTTCCCTCCTTCTTCTTTCTTCATTCTTACATTCACTTTTTTATAGAGGAGAAGGGTGGGTTGACAAAAGTAGAGATGTGGACAAGATAAAGAGAAAAGGAATCCTAAAAAGGGTAATTATTTTTAAGACTGAATGATATCTCCTTTTAACTACAGAATGTAAGAATGAATAAATCTTTACTCCTTGTGGTATTTTTAGTCAGTGTTTTTTGTTGTTGTTGTTGTTGTTTATTAAATTTGCATTAGCACTAACTTAAAGTTGACCAGATATATCTGGTTTCCATCACTAGCCTTTTACTCAACTAGGTAACAAATAGTTATTGAATACTTAAAATGTTCAAGGTACTTTTCTAAGTATATTTAAGCATACAAAACATGAATAAGGCCTTCTTCCTAACCTTAAAACAAGCTCAGAGGTGGACAAACAATCTTCATTTGTTTCAGTCAGTTTCCTCAAGTATAAAATAAAGTAATTGCACAAGTTATCATCAAAGTGTCCCTTCCAGCTCTGGCATTTAATGATTCTAAATAAAAGAAAGATATGATAAGCAGAATAATGGAACCTCAAAGATGTCCCTGTCCTTCCCCCAAAACCTGCGGTTATCTTAACTTCCATGGCAAACAGGTCTTTGCAGATGTAATTAAGTTAAAGATCCTCAGATAGGATTATCCTGGACTTCCTAGGTGGGCCTACTGTAATCACAAGGCCCCTTATAAAAGGAAGGCAGGAGAGACAAGAGGAGATGTGATGGTGGAAGCACAGGTTGGAGTGATGGAGTGATGTGACCATAAGTCAAGGAAAGTAGGCAGCCTCTAGAAATTGGACACGGCAAGGAAGAGTTTCCCTCAAAAAATCCCCGTGAAAGAAGCCAGCTGGCTGACACTTTGATTTTAATTCGTAAGACCCATTTTTGGACTTAATGTCCTCTAGAACGGTAATGTAACAAATTTGTGTTGTTTTAAGCTACTACCTGTGTGGTAATTTGTTATAGCAGATAAAGTAAACTATTATAATAGATATTTGTAGTTCAGAGAACTACAGGAGTTCAGAGAAGGAAGAAAGATCTTCTGGGTGAAAGAAGAAACTATTCTCAAAGTAAATGTACTATAATGAACTTCAACAATGAACAAAAAGTAAAACTAAGATTCTAAATTCAACTCCTTACTAACAGAATGCTTTTGACAAATGTAACCATTATTTCTGGTAGACTCAATGTTATTTTCCTAGCATATCTTAAGTGCTTCAGTGTACTGAAAGTTATACCAAGATTTTGCAGCAGGAGGGAGCTGTTTGGCTGATGCTGGTGTCCCTGAAGGAAGTGCCCCGTGGGGCTGGTATACAGAACTCTTGAGGAGTGGGAGCCAAGAGGCTTATGGTGCTGACTTTTCTGACATAGGCTTCACTAAGCTGGTAGTAAGTGTTAGAAAAACTGCAAGCTGGACTCAGGTATAGCTATGGGAAGGAAGTGCTGCTGTGAAGAAACACTGCTGAGATAATGGAAAGCAAACAGGACACAAAGACAAGGAAGTAAGTCTCTTTTTCCTCTTCTTGCCATGCAGTCTCTCTCCAGCCCACCTTTTTACCAGAGCTTAACAGATATGCAAGGGCTCTACACACATCAAGTCTTTACTGAGCAACTGTTATGTGCCAAACAATGTTCTAGGGACTGAAAACAAACAAAAAATACAGTGGCAAATAAGACAGAACACGCCTGAAAAAAATAGGATTTAAACATGATAGTAAGACTTCAAGAAAGAAATTATAATAAAAATACTGGTAATGAGGAAGAAACAACAACAAAAATAGTCAAAAAGAATAAATCAACATGTTTATAAAATAAAATGTAAATGTCAATAATTTCTCAAAAAGAATGCTAATGATAGTAATAGCAGCAAGCTCTTACCTAGCACTATTATGTGCCAGGTAATGTTCTAAGTGCAATAAGTATATTAATCACTTAATCCTAGCAATGAGGCGGGTAATATGATTATCCTGATGTCACAAATGAGACAATCGAGACTCAGAAAGATTAAGTAATTTCAGTGAAGTCAGACAGCTGGTAAGTGGCAGAGCTGAGATTCAAACAGGTAGTGTGATCCCAGGGACTATGCTTTTAAAAACATACTGTGTTTTACATTATATAAAGATAATAATTTAGTAGTGATAATTTTATCTGAAATCCCATCTTATACAAATAAAACATGAATTAAATGAAATATGCGTAGGAGAGAATTCCCCACTAATCATACAATTTCCTTTATATCCTACACATAAATAAACATAGACACATAGGACATGAAGGGATTTATAAAAAGAACAATAATAGAATTAAAAATAGAATTTCAATTTCAAAATCTTTTGAGAGGAAAAAGGTAAATAGTATTATATATACTAAAACAAAGTTTTTAAAAAGGACATGGCAGGATGGTATACAGAAAATATAAAATAAGTTCATAGAAGATGTATACATGCATCAAACACTGCCTTTAAAAAAAACTTGGGGGGCACCTGGGTGGCTCAGTGGGTTAAGCCTCTGCCTTCGGCTCAGGTCATGATCCCAGGGTCCTGGGATCGAGCCCCACATCGGGCTCTCTGCTCAGTGGGGAACCTGCTTCCTCCTCTCTCTCTGCCTGTCTCTCTGCCTACTTGTGATCTGTCTGTCAAATAAATAAATAAATAAATCTTAAAAAACAAAACAAAACAAAACAAAATTGGGTTCTCGTGGCACCTGGGTGGCTCAGTGGGTTAAAGCCTCTGCCTTCGGCTCAGGTCATGATCCCAGGGTCCTGGGATTGAGCCCCGCATCGGGCTCTTTGTTCAGCAGGGAGCCTGCTTCCTCCTCTCTCTCTGCCTGCTTGTGATCTCTGTCAAATACACAAATAAACTCTTAAAACAAACAAACAAACAAAACTCAGGTTCTCGGGGCACCTGGCTGGCGCAGTTGGTGGAGCATGAAACTCTTGATCTCAAGAATGTGAGTTTGAGCCGCATGTTTGGTATGGAGACTACTTAACAATAACCTCTTTAAAAAAAAAGGGTTCTCTTGAAGATATTATTACAAGTGAAATCTGCCAGTCACAAAGGAACAAATACTGCATGATTCCTCTCTCAAAAGGGACCTAGCTAGTGTAGTCTAACTCAGAGACTGAGAGTAGAATGACAGTTGCCAGGGGCTGCAGGGAGAGGGGAATGGAGTGTTAGTGTTTAATGGGTATGGAGTTTCAGTTTGGGAAGATAAAAAAAAACTTGTGGAGGTGGATGACGGTGGTGATGGTTGCACAACAATGCACTTAATGCTACAGAACTGTACTTATGAACGATTAAAATAGTAATTTTTTTTTATTTTACCACACAAAAACTGCAACTCAAAAAAACCCCCAAATAATGTAGTGATATCGAAAGCCTAAAACACTGATGATGGGAGTGTAAAATGGTGCCACCACTTTGGAAAATCATTTCACAGCTCCTCAAGTGATTAAACATAGTTACCATATGACCCAGCCACTCTACCCTCAGATATATACCCCCAAAGAAATGGAAACATATCTTCACCCAAAAACATGTACACAAATGTTTACAACAGCATGATTCATAATAGTAAATAGATGTAAACAACCTAAATGGCCTGCAGTTGCTGAATGGATAAACAAAACAGGATATGCCCATACAATGGAATATAATTTGGGAATAAAAAGAAGTGAAGCACTGATATATGCATAACACAGATGAACCCTGAAAATAAGTGAAATAAGCTGGTCACAAAGGACTACATTGTATGATTCTATTTATATGAATGCCCAAAGTAAGTACATCCATACAGACAGAAAGTAGATTGGTAACTGCTTAGGGCTGAGTAGTGGCGGGGGGGTGTTGGAAGTGACTACTTACCACCTTTGGGGTAATAAAAATGTTCTAAAACTGGTGATGGTTGTACAACTCCATGAACACACTAAAAACCAATGGTTATACATCTTAAATTGATTAGCTGTATGGTATGTATATTATATATCAAAAAGCTGATTACATATCATCTATAATAGGCAAATCTG